GGATCACTTGCTGGAGGATTCTCTGCATCTTGGGGTCCTTAAACCATTTGAGGGCTTCAATATCAGAGATGTAGGTGAGAGGATTATTCTAGGAGGGGTGGGGGAGATTCTGTGGCCTGCACCGTGCAGGGGGTCAGAGTAGATGATCATAATGGTCCCTTCTGACCTTAGAGTCTATGGCTGCATCTAGATTTTGTGGAAATACTTTTAATGGAAAAGTTTTTCCGTTAAAAGTATTTCTTGTGCAAAAAGTGCTTTTGAGGAAAAGCATCCGTGACGAGTCTAAAATCATCTGCTGCCTCTTCATTTAATGTGGTGACCCCTAGTTCTTGTGTTATGAAAACAAGTAAATAAGTTTTCCTTATTCACTTTCTCTACACCAGGCATGAATTTATAAAATTCTGTCACATCTCCCTTAGTCTTCTCTTTTCTAATGTGAAAAGTCCCAAAGTATTTCCCTAGGGGGATGGGGAAGCACTTTTCCATTAAAAGCATTTGCGGAAAATCATGCCAGTCTAGACACAGCCCATCAGTCTTCTGTCGGTTTGGGAGACCAGCCGCTCGGGGTGCAACACGTTAACCTCCAGGGGGCGCTGGGCTGGGCAGAGCAGAGCTGGGGGGGTGTGATGGGCTGGAAGGTGCCAGTGGCTCCACCAATCAGTGAGCTGAGCTACACACAGGGAGGGGGTGGGGCGGAGGAACGTGTGTCTGGGCCAGTATGATGCCAATCATAGACCCATAGAGCACTAGAACCGCAAGGGGCCCCCAGATCTTCAAGTCTGGTCCCTTCCCTCACGGCAGGACCAAGCGCCGTCTAGACCATCCCTGTGGCTCTGTGTGTCCCTGACTTCACCCTACCTGGTCTGAGTCCCCCCAAATCTTCAGGGTTCAGCCTGGAGGTGTCTAGAGCATCCCCAGAACTGCTGGAGCAGGGATCTCAGCACTCAGCAGCTCTCCTGGGGCACAGAAATAGGGGGGTGCCAGGGAGGGGAGGGCGGCCAGGCTGCCTGGGCTGCCGGCGGGCCAGCGGAGGGGGGGCCAGCTGCCTTGGCCCAGAGCCTTGTGGACATTGCTCCCCGACAGGCAGGCTCTGATGGACTGGCCCCAGGGTCACACCCCAAGTACAGGGCCCTGAGCCTCTGGGACATGAAGGGGGGTTAAGGTAAAGACACAGCCCTGCGGGTGCACCCAGCCATTCCCAGTCTGGGGGAGGGGGCGAGAAAAGGGGGAAAATTGCCAGGGAAAAGGCAGGACCAAAGTATGTTCATTACCCCCTATTCTCCCAATGACCATTGATCCATGAGGCAGTAACCGCAAGACATGGACACGCACAGACCGCTTGGGGACTTACGAGCGCAGGGTCCCCGCCCCTCAGTGCTTGTATATAGCACCCCGCACCGGCTGTGTGAATACAGCCCCTTGGCAGCTTCTCTGTTAGAGACTCTGCGATTTTCAGGCTATGATAATCCAGCCACGGCCGTCTGCACAGCCAGACCTGAGCCATTCTTTGTACATGACAAACCTGAGGAACTGTCCCAGACTGAGGTGTCATTACAGGAGGCTTTGGCATAAACAAGTCCCCAAGGCCAGCTGGTCTCACCCACGAGTTCTGAAAGGATCAAACATGAAACTAGGGAATTGCTAACTGTGGTGTGTAGCGTGGCCTTGAAATCAGCTTCTGTACCTAAGCACTGGAGGGCAGCTAATGGGACACCAGCCTTTAAAGGGGGCTCTAGAGGTGAACCTGGCAATTGCAGGCTGGTTCGCTGATTTCAGTACCAGGCAAACTGGTTGAAACTCTAGGGAAGAACAGAATTGTCAGACACAGAGATGAACAGAATTTCTCGGGGAGAAACGCCAACAGGTTTTCTGTGAAGGGGAATTCTGCCTGGCTCATCCGCGAGAGCACTTTGAGGGGTTCACGAGCATGTGGCTGGGGGGATCCAGTGGCTACAAGGTACTTGCATTTCCAGAAACCAGTGACAAGGATCCTCAGCAAAGGCTCTGAAGCAAAGGAAGCTGCAATGGGATTAGAGGGGAAGCCCTCATGGGCTGATACCTGGCTAATACAAAGGAATCACAGGGTGGGAATCAATGGTCAGTTTTCTGAGTGGAGAGAGGTAACTAGTGGGGTCCCCCAGGTTCTGTCCTGGGACCCATCCCATTCCACGTATTCATTATCCAGACAAAGGGGTAAACAGTCAGAGGGCAAAATGTGCAGATGATACAAAATGACTCAGGATAGCGAAGCCCAAAGCAGAGTGTGAAGGGCTTCCCAAGGAGCTCACCAACAAAACGGAAGCTGAACGTTAATGCTGATCAATGGCAAGGAATGCATGTTGGGAAATAGGATCTAATCTGTACGTGTCAAATGCTGGGGAGTAAGTTAGCTGTTTCCACTCGAGAGAGAGATCTTGGAGTCATGTGGACAATTCACTCAGGCTATATCTAGACTACAGGGTTTTTCTGAGAAAACTTCACCTGTGTCTAGACTGCTGCTGCATTTTTTTAATTTAATTTAGAAAGAACACGACAGGTTTTTTTTGACACCGGTAAATCTCATTTTACGATGAAGAACGCCTTTTTTTTTTTTTAAAAGAGCTCTTTCAAAAACAGGCATTCTTGAATGCAAGCAGGGCTCTTTGGAAAGGGAGCATCCAAACTGGCTGAGTTCTCCCTTTCAAAAAAGAGAATCGCTTTTTTGAAAAAGCAGTGGTTGTCTGTACCAGTGTTTCTCCACCTTTTTTCGCTCATAGTCCCCTTCTGAGCCTCGTTTACCCCTGTGGCCCCCATCATAGCTGCTGTTAGTTGGAAAAAAAGGCACATCATTTACCAAATGTTCCATTTTTTCCATGTGGCCCACTAAAAGTAGGATGTGGCCCCTGGGGAGCCATATGGCCCTCGGTTGAGAACCACTGGTCTAGACAACCTCTTTCGAAGGAAGCTTTTTCGAATTCTTTCAAAAGAGGCTTGTAGTCTACACGTACTCAGTGTCAGCGGCAATCAAAAAACCGAAAAGAATGTTGGGAATGATTGACCATTGCTCCTTGTTCTGGCATCCGTCACCACTGAGAACAGCCTCTCTCCAGCCTCTTTGGAACCCACCATCCGAGAGCTGCAGGCTGCTCTCAAATCCCCCCTCTGTCCACTCCCCTGTCCTGAATTCCATTGGGGGTGGGGGTGGGAGTCCTGCCTGTGTTAAGTCATTCTGTCTCTCTCAGCTCCTGGTGTTACTCTCCCACTCAAAGGAAGCCGGCAGGGAACCTAGATCCAATTCACATTTCATCCCTCTATCTCGCTTGGCTCTCCCGGCCCCCCGTCTGACACGTTTGCTAGGTACCTGAGTTAACCCCTTAGTCACCGGGTACTCATCAGCACTCCCCCTGTTCATGACACCTTTGTACTGGGTTAACCCATTAATAGCGAATATTCACACCCAGGGAGACAGCGTCAAACATGCAAATGAATTCCAGTTCTCAGCGTCTCTCTGTGATTGGCTGGTGAGATTCCTTTGTAGAAGAACGGCTACTTGTAAATCCAGGACTGAGGGGTCCAGCAGGTTCCAGTGTCCCCACAGGTCCGGGTGTTTCCATTCCTAAGTCTGATTAGTGTCCCTTTATCCCTTGTCGCAGTGTCTGTCCAGTGTGGCCACTGTCCGTGGCTGGTACTTGCTGGTGTAGATCACACTGGCGGCTGGGCAGGTCTAGGAGCCCCTGCTGTGGTGGCTGATGCACCAGGGCCTGTAGTGGTGCAGCTGGTGGAGATGGGTGGGCAGAGTTGGCAATGGGGTTGTTGCAGGGGTGGGTCCCTAGGTGGGTGTGTCTGAGCTGAGGGGTGTGGCTGTGGAAAGGACTTGCTGCAGGTTGGGGGTGTCTGGAGGCAATGAGGGATCATTTTCCAGAACATCAGAATGGCCAGACCTGGTCAAACCAAAGGCCTATTCAGCCCCATGGCCTGTCCCCAGAGGGAGTGAAGGGAACAGGGAACCATCGGCTAATTCCCTCTGTCACCCATTCCCAGCTTCTGACCCACAGAGGCCAGGGACACCAGCCTGGCTAAGAGCCATTGATGGGAAGCATTAATCAGAGGTTAACTGTACAGTTGGCACTTTTCCATGTTAAGAATGGCCACACTTGCTCAGAAGGATGGTAGTTTGTAGGCTGATACAGGGGTGTGAGCGGGGGGCTGTAGGGAATGACTAATTGTATTCTGTTATTTTCCTTGTTGGGCCTGTCTTTAAAGAAGGGACAGTTAGGTACCGGTTTGAATCTGTCAGTCGGTTCCCTCATTTCCCCAGGCAGCTATTTAAGTTTTAAGGATGCCTGATAGAAATCCTGTGGGTTGGATCCGAGCCAGTTGTATCTTAGAGCCTGGCTGTAGACAACTGGTCATATGGTGGTGGAAGCTAGAGCCATGTGGGTTACAACAGGGGTCAGTAGGTTTCCGGTACAGGATGGTGTTAATGTGACCATTATTTAACGGCACGGCAGTATCAAGGAAGTGGGTCTCTCGTGTGGACTGGCCCAGGCTGAGGTTGATGTTGGGGTGGAAGTTGTTCAAGGGTCTCCATCACACAGGTGCAGATGATGAAGACATCGTCAAAGTAATGCAAGAGGAGGAGGGCATAAGGGACGAGATCTGAGGAAATGTTGCTCGAGGTCAGCCATATTGTCAGGAGATTGTGGAGCCGTGTGGGTGCCCAGGGCTGTACCGCTGACTGGAAGGGTTCAATTGTCTTCAAACTGGAAATCGCTGTGGGTGAGGGTAGTCACAGATCTCAGCCGTCAGGAAGACATCGTCAAAGTAATGCAAGAGGAGGAGGGCATAAGGGACGAGATCTGAGGAAATGTTGCTCGAGGTCAGCCATATTGTCAGGAGATTGTGGAGCCGTGTGGGTGCCCAGGGCTGTACCGCTGACTGGAAGGGTTCAATTGTCTTCAAACTGGAAATCGCTGTGGGTGAGGGTAGTCACAGATCTCAGCCGTCAGGTGGGCAGGGGCCTCATCGGGGAGTGTGGTCCCGACAGTCTGTCGTACATGCTCATGGGGAATGTTGGTGGAAGGGGCTTCTACAGCCACGGCAGCTAGGCTGGTGTGTGCAGGGAGATCGCTGATGCACTGCAGTTCCCTCAGGAAGCCGGCGGTGTGTCCGGGAGCGAGACGTGCTGGTCGCATAGGGTCTGAGTCTCGACAGAGCTGGATAACCCTGCTGTAAGGAAGCTACAGCCTGAGATGATAGGCTGTCTGGGATTTCCAGGGTTGTGGCAGATGGGTTCTTCTTTCTCCAGCAGGGAACCTGACATGCTACGAGTGCATCGGCCAAACGGAGGCCTGCAATGAGACTGTAGGGACTTGCCAAGATGACCAGGCGACAGGCGGTTGCATCTCCACGACACAAGACATTTCACTGGGTAGGTGACATTGACTTCAACCCAGGCACATCTTACCCTGCAGTGGGGGCCAGGGCACTATTGATTGGATTTCATCCATCGGCCTTTCAACGCCACCCGGGCCGGCTGCGCGGCAGCAAGCAAAGCTGCGCCGGGGAGAAACGCACTTTCTGAGGGGGGTGGGAAAGGAAATGAGGGGGATCCCTTGGGCCCTGCCGGCTGCTCCCAAAGCCCGTTTGACGCCCTGCGTCACCTGCTCAGGCCTGTGGCCCTTCCTCACACAGGTTTTTGCCCTTGGAAAGTGAGTTGCAGGGGTGGGTCTTTGACGTGGAGATGCCAAACAAACCTTCTCCCTGTTCAATCCCCGAGTTCCTCAGGCCGGCGGATTCACCAGTTCCCTTCAGTTCCCACAGTTTGTCCTTTCACATGGGACACCCGAGTTACAGACCCAGTTCGGTTCATCCTGCCACCGACCTAACGGGACTGAACGGCCCTTCCACTCCCCCTGTGGGAATGACACAGAGCCCCCACCAGCTTTACCGGGATCGGTCGTTATCCAGCCACCTGTCTGCCGACCTCCCTACTTATTCCCCACTATGCCCACCCGCCTGCCTGCCTCTGACCCCACTCAGGACACTTTCCCAGCACAGTCCCCAGTGGGTTTATTCAAATCCCCACCCAGACTCAGGATCTGGCCTCACTGCGATTCGAGTATCCGTGACCCAAGACTGAACCCTCACTGCGCCCTACTCTCCACACACGAACCCTTTAGCCTCAGCTGGGCTGACTCAGCGGGGGGGGGGGGAAAGTTTAGGCCTGGGTTGCTCTTTAACTGGCTGAATTCAGGCCCCAGAATCTGACACGGGATCCCAGCAGCGGCACAGGGAGGTAAAATCCCCTCCCTGCCCCCACCCAAGGGTCCCTCCCAGCCTCACGTTTTCTGTTTGTTTCTCCGTATGTGACAAAGCCGGGAATGTGCTGATGTCCTACTCCAAGCAATGCCTCAGCACCTATAACAGTGAAATAAAGGGTCCCCTCTCTTTCACGGTGGGAAATGGCTACTACCTGAGGATCAATGTCACACAATGCAACACAGATTCGTGCAACTCAGCCCTACCTCAAGGTACGTTGTGGGTCTGTTTATACTGTCCCTATTTCAGAGCACGGCCCTGTGAGCAATTACGGAGCGTGAGCTGGGTGTGAATCTAGCTCCGCATGTGCCCTGGCCGATGCACATGGTCGGCGGGAGGCGCACTGTGGAAGGGCATTCGCTCAAAGCACATTAATGAACCGCTTCAATATGCCAGCTGGGTGCACAGGCACAGCGAGGCCATGGGACCAGTGTAACTGACAACGGATGGATTTGAACCCGGATTTGCTTCAGTTTAGGGTAGGACCTGCTACCATCTGAGCCGAAAGCCAGTTGGCTTAGCCCCTAACTAAGCTCCAGCAGTCCCCGACTCGAATCTGCATGCTGGCGGTTAGACGACGAAGCCAGCTGGCGCTCAGCCTAGGTTGCAGAGTTCGCTTGCTCTTGTCTTTCCCTGTGGTCTAAGTGCCACTGCATGGGCAGTGAACCACAACAGGTGTGTGGGTCACACTGACATAGGGCAGTCACACCCCAGGTGCTCTGCTCACCCCATCTCTCTTGCTACAGTCGGACTGTTCAGGTAGACAAGCTGTAGCACACTTGTATTTGTTCTCATTTCTCCCCTCTATCGCCCAAACTCCATGTACTGAAATGTCAGATGTGAAACACCTGTACTTGGTAGATTGCCCAGCAGGTGTGCGTGTGGGCAGAACAGCCAGGGACAATTTGCCGCCAAACGGGCTGGGGCTGCATGTGAAGGAGGGAGTAGGTACCGGGACAGGCTCAAATCTAAACTTCCCAGAAGCTACCGGGCTCCATCTTCACACTCGCTAGGATCTAGAACTGAGCCAGTGCGGCCATCGCCAACTGTTTGGCCCAGACAAAGAAATGGTGCCCGGCTGCAGGGAGGGGCCCGCACATGCTCAGCGAGGCAGGGCCCCTCCCCCAGTTGGAATGAGGTTTAACGCACCCTATAACCATCTCTGTTTCTATTGTCAGTGACCCCAGACACCACCCCGAACGGGCTGCAGTGCCCAACCTGCTTTGCTCTGAACTCCGATACCTGCAACGGCGTAATCACCCCCTGCACAGGGCAAGAGACCTATTGCCTGGAATTGACTGGCTCTCTGTTAGAAAGTAAGTTCTGCCACCTGGTTTCGGGGCGGGAGTTGCCCAGTAACCTCACACCCCTGGAGTTCCCCAGAGACCTGGTGGGACCCGGAGTCTGTGCCAAGCCCTAAGCAGGTGGGGCTGCCAAGACGGGTTTACCTCCCAGCCCAGAATCCCCCACCCCAGCGATGCCGCGCTGGTCTGGGGGTGATGGCAGAAGGGTCCTTACCAGGGGGAGTGCTGTGAAGTCAGGGATGCAGAGCTGGGGAAGAGAAGCTTGGCTCCCCCTCCCCCACTGCTCTAACCACTAGTCCCCACCCCCTTGATGTCTAAGGTGGAGCTAAGCTGCTGTTGCTTCGTGAGGCAGCTCCTGCTCTCAGTGTGCCCAGGGCTCCCGGCGCTCTGGTGTGGTTATAAAATAACTGAATCGAGCGGGGGGCTGCCGGGGACAGGGAGAGCCAGCATGTTCCATTGCTTCGTGAGGCAGCTCCTGCTCTCAGTGTGCCCAGGGCTCCCGGCGCTCTGGTGTGGTTATAAAATAACTGAATCGAGCGGGGGGCTGCCGGGGACAGGGAGAGCCAGCATGTTCCACACGCTG